GTCTTGCTTTGGCTCAGGCTGGTCTCGAACCTGTGAGCTCAGGCAATATACCTGCCTCAGCCTTCCAGAGTGCTGAGATTATAGATGTGAGCCACCATGCCCAGCCCTTGACAGAATTTTTAATTATAGTCCAAGATCAATGTCCTTGGTGTCTTAAGGAGGGGAAGTTCAATTTAGAAGACTAGGAAAGATTGGGATGGTGGTTACAGCAAGCTCTGGGCCCAGTAACTGTCCAACATCTTACAGTATGAATCAATGCTGCCTAGCCCTTCACCCAAGTCAAGGAGATAATCTAAGGTTCCCTCAGATGATTTCAAACCAGATCCTCCTTGTTTTTCACCTCCCAAAAAGGGAGCTAGGGGTCTATTGCAGCTATTGCTCCTTCCTCTTCTGCCAATTTGGCCCAGCCCTTTCCTAAATTTGAGAGTATTATGGAAAGGTGCTTAAGAGAAAGAGCTGCTCAAGATGGCAAATGTGTTTAGGGTTTTCCTGTAGTGAGAGGTAGTGGCCAAAAACCCTGCCACAAAAGCCTCCTATTCTTGGTTTTGAAAGAACTTAAGAGTACCACTGAGAAAGGCTTGTAGAGCACTTTTACTATGGGGTATAGTAGAATCCATTACTAATGGGTTTGAGATGACATCTGGGACTGGAACATGAGTTAAGACTGTTGTGTTCCCCTGCCCAGTATAGTGTTTGGGTCCAAGAGTTCCAAATCACTGCCAGATTATAACTATAGATAACTGTCCTGAAGGAATTCCCATCAATGTTGACATGTTCACAGGATTGTCCTTATGCTACCTGCCATACTCAGGCTAATTATATAACCCTCAAGCACTTGTTCAGAGCTCTCAAGTGGCCTATCGTGCTTGAACAAAAATCCCTGACTCCCAAGCCCCTACTTGACTCATTTGCCACCATTCGCTAGGAAGCTAATTTGATTTCATTCACGGGCTACAAAATGCTGTAGGTCATCAAATTGAAAATCAACAGGCTGCTGAAATTTTAACTGTCCAACTTGCATATGAAAATGCCAATTTGGATCATAAAAAAGTTTTATCCCCTTTGAAGGGGCACTCTCGTTCCCTGACGATAAGAGCTTCCGTCATCGGGATGGGAAGTTTGCTCTTCTCAGACACCTGTGTTTGTTGCTGTGTTCAGTGTGCCCCTTGTTGTCTGTTGTTAACTCTGCTGTGTGTTGTTCCCAGTGTAACTTTAAACCTATCCCTGGACAAATGCAGTATTTCATAGTAAATGTTTCCATTTAAAATCTATTTCATAGATATGAAATGTAGTAATAGGAATGGGGAATGAAAGCATACATGGTGAGAATAAGATGGAGTCAGTCAGGGTAGGGCCAACAAGACGCAGTTGGTCTGGTCAGTGTAGGTCCAACCAGTGACATTTACCCCCTCTCTCCCATCCTTACTGTTTTATAAATTTAGCTACCACCCTAAAGATGCCCATCTTAAGTAGTTTAAGAGGACTGATTTAGGAAATTAACTTTTGGATTGGAATACTGTTTTGGGTCATGGATTATGCTGATTATTGTTGTTTAAAATAAAGATTAAGGTGGCACCTGTGGCTCAGTGAGTAGGGTGCCAGCCCCATATACCAAGGGTGGTGGGTTTGAACCTGGCCCTAGCCAAACTGCAACAAAAAAATAGCTTGGTGTTGTGGTGGGCGCCTGTAGTCCCAGCTACTTGGGAGACTGAGGCAAGATTATCACCTAAGCCCAGGAGCTGGAGGTTGCTGTGAGCTGTGACGCCACAGTACTCTACTGAGGGCAACAAAGTGAGACTCTGTCTCTAAAAAATAAAATAAAATAAAATAAACATGGTTTTTACTTTAAACTTTCATGTATAAACAGGTAATCAAATTTTATAAATCATAGCCAACTGGATCACAGACAAATTCCTTCACAAATTTCCTCTTATGAGTTCTATTCAACATGCACAGACACAGCCCTTCTTACACTTCTCATTTTTTCTTCTATTTTGCCAACAATGGCAAATTAAACCCGTAACAGGTATTCCCCCATAACTCAAAAGACCAAGCCATCATAAAACATTCTCATTCACTTTTAAGATACCAATTAATAAAACAAAAGGTAGGAGGGTGTATGGAAGATAAACTCACACCACAAGAACAATTACATAAAGTTCTCTTTACTCTTAACTTTTTTGAATTGCTCTAAGGAAGGCACTACTGCTGGTGAAAGACATTTTTCTCCCCCTAACAAAGACCCCAAACTTTTGGTACTTTACAAAGAGACTCTGGGAGGCCCTCAGTGGTTGGGACCAGTGCCATTGCTAACCTTAGGGGTAGGGCTGTGCTGCTGTTTGATCACCAACAGATCCTTTGTAGGTCCCAGCTTACCTATCAAACCTTATCATAAATTGACATCAGCCAGAGAAGAATCCTCCAGTTCCTTCCACATTTTTATATTCCTCTTAAAAAAGATATTTGGGGAGATGCTCTGCCCTTCTTCCCAAGGTTGATCCATCAAGGATATTATATTCGGCTCGGCGCCTATAGCTCAACCAGCTAAGGCGCCAGCCACATACACCTAAGGTGGCAGGTTCGAATCCCCAGCCCGGACCTGCCAAACAACGACGGCTGCAACCAAAAAATAGCCGGGCATTGTGGCGGGCGCCTGTGGTCCCAGCTACTTGGGAGGC